TTTTTTCTTTCATTCTCTCATGTTTCTCTCCATTTAGTTTTGACTATAAATAAATATATAGATAATAAATAAACACATTATTTATTTTTTGTTTTTTTCCTTTCATTCCCCCATGTTTGTTTATTTATTTGTTTGTTTATTTTAAATTTTTATTTATCTTTTTATTTTTTATTGCCATTACATGTTTGTATGATTGGTTTCTATTGCATGTTGTCAGTCAGCATAACACAGACTAATACAGTTGCATGTGTGCAGTTTGCATAGTAGACAAACTAAAACATTAATCTGACATGCTCTGCATGAATATAGAATTATTTGCATTGATATAGCATTTAATATAGCTCCATAACAGTTGTTTACATAATTTAAGAAGCAGTTTGTAGATACACAGAAAATTAAAATAAGTAAATATTATTTAATACTGTTTTTCATGAGTTGAATGTGTGATTGTGATAATTGCACAGGCTCAGCTGATCCACGACAGAAACACGGCGTCTCATGCAGCTCTAAACGACAAGACGGACGCCACGCCGGAGCGGGTCCACATGACCTGGACCAAAGACAAGTTCTGCACCGAACGCAACCGCAACCGAGAGCCCAGCGCAAACATGGTGGTGCGGGATCTGTTCAGCATGAAACCGTAAGTCACCTGAATACACACTCACACACTGACTGCAGCGTTTGGTGCTTCGTGGGTTTAATACTGGGATGTAAAGAGTGTTCAGACACGAGCCCAGAGGCTGCTGGGTATTTCAGGACACAGTCTGCATCTGATCTGCATGACCACAGTGTGTCTGTCATCCTGTATAACGGTCACGCGTCCACCATGTGTCTGTGTGTGTCTCCAGTCATATACATCTGCCCATTAGATTTACTGACATGTTTTTGGTCTTCATATAATATTAACAGTAATATTCCTCTCAGTGATGATACTGATAGGTTTAATGATTTAATAGGTGAATCTCACAAAAACATGTAGATCATGATTTAGTTAAAAAGATAAATTTATATTTATTTATTTAGCATAGGACCATTAGGATATTTTGCATTTTGGCATTATTTTCAAAACATTTCAGCACATTTCCCTAACTTTTCATTACCTTAGCATTTGTTTTGTAATTCTCATGATGTGAATGACAAAACAAGGTGATTTTTCATTTTTGTAAATTTGTGACAAAGATTTTTAAACCAGCAAAACAACAAACACAACCAGAAATAAACAAATATTAATATTTATTTATTTACCTGTCATGAATTTTCTTGTTACTTTCTTCTGAAATTTGTCCTAAAGGTTCATGTAAGCCTATGTGGTATATTTATTTACTTATTGTTTGTTTGTTTGCTTTTGTTTAATTTTATTTGTCATGAATTTAAAGGTTAATGTAATAAGTCTGTCCCAAACATACTTTTTATTAAGATCCTATTTTCCTATAATTTATTTGAGAAGAATTATCTGCTGGGCAAACAAACTCTGAAAAGCTGTCATAAACACAGCGGCTGTTGCTGTGAGAGATTTCTGTGATGGTGTGGGTGTTTAAGCCTGTCTCTGTTGTTCTGTCCTGTTTTCCTCCTCCTAGCGAATGGGAGAGTCTGTAAGTCACATTTCTCTGTACTGTAGCTGTCTGTCTGTCTGTAACTGTCCCGTCTCAATCCCTGCAGCTCACTGGATTATTCATACATATATGTTTGTATATGAGCTTTGATATGTGTGTTAGCATGCATGTGTTTATGTCCCAGCATTCCCTCACGTCCATCACCGCTCGTCCTGAGAGCTGCAGACATAATCTCAATTTTTGCCACATGCAAGAAAAATTGTGCTTCACCTTCACCTGTTGCGTCCAGGATAAACTTAAAATTCCAATTAATGTTTTTTTTATAATATTTTACAATAATAATAATTTAATTCTAAACTATTTGATACATTCTAGATAAATATTTTGTTTAAAATTATTTGTTAATATTATAAAATAATTGACGTGAGTTTTATTATACTAATTTATTTTATTATATATTATAAAAATGTTTTAATATTATTGTAAAATAATTTATTATTATTGATTGTATTTAAAATATTATAAAATAATTGTAATATAAAAATAATAGTTTTTTTGGTATATTTACTGTGGTTTGTTGATTGGCACCAGGTGGCGCTGAGGAGCACAAGTTTTTATTTATTTTTTTTAATTTTTTTTTGTGGCATATTTGTGATGTAGTCATTTATGCTTCATTAAGGGCATGTGCATATGCTGTGCATGTCAAATCTGGATGCTGTGCTCACTAACCTCAATAGGGCTTTATTATATAACTAATATGTAATGTAACCAATGCTTGAATTACAGTGCAAATGTAATTATCATGCCATATTCAGCAGCATTGCAAAGCTTATGTATTATTTAAAGCACAGCTGTCCTGGACAATGAAGTGTTAAACTGTACAGTTTAGCATAATTATACACAAATATTTGACCACTGAATTACCATTGAACAATCAGAATCAAATATCACTGTAATAGAGGCATTTGCATTTGACCTCAGAGATCACAGTAAACGATAAATATGAGTCTGTGCTTTGCAAATACTGAAATATATACTAAAAGTAGACAGTGGAGAGACAAAAAAGCTCATTAAATGTTGATTGTTGTTGTTGGGAATTTGAAACAATGACTTGTATTTCTTGTTTCTGTCCTTCACCACATGACCGTGTGTCGCAGGAATCAGTCTAATGTGCGCTGCATGCACACTGCCATCAAACTCAATGAAGTGGTGGTCAATAAGTCTCAGGGAGCTCATCTGGTGCTCCTCAACATGCCCGGACCACCCAAGAGCAGAGGCGGCGATGAAAACTGTATCCTTACACTGACAGAACTCACGTTTATGAAAACAGATTCATCTCTAAATCTGAGTGGATGAGCCACAGATGAATCAGGGTTATGATTGTTAACAAAAACTAAAACTGTTAAACATATTTTTTAATTGAAGTAAAACTAAAACTGATATAAATACATAAAAAAGAGAAACTTAAAATTAAAACTAAACTAAAATTTAAATGAAAATATAAAAATAAAAGCTAATTCAAAATATTAACAAAAACTAAAAACGTTAACTAAAACTGTTAAACATATTTGCTAATTAATATTAAGCTTAAATAAGTTAAAATATAAATATTAAATGAAAACCCTGAAGGGCTAAAATTACTAACTGAAAATAAATACAAGCGAAAATTGAAGTAAAATTTAAACTGAAATAAATAGATTAAACCTAAATAGTAATATAAAAAAAAAATAATAAAAATGACAAAAGCACATATCAAAATTTAAGGCAATTCTACATATTAGTACAAATTATAATAGCATTTTCAACATTTCTGATAACAATTTTTTATGACCCTAACGTTTTAAAATAAAATATTTATTTTTTTCATTTAATGTTTATATGTACACATTACTCATACATACACATTATGTCTATATATATATATATATAATTTTAATCACAAAGTTTTCCTTGACTGATGCGACTCAGACATGGAGTTTCTGGAGGTTTTGATGGAGGGTCTCAACCGGGTCCTGTTGGTGCGCGGCGGCGGTCGTGAAGTCATCACCATATACTCATAAAGCGGATTGTAGCCCGACGCCACGCAGGCAGGAATTCAGTTTTTATTTTTCCCACAGCAAAGCCGGACATCATGGAGAAAGCTAGCAGTCGTGGTTTACAGCGGCGTTTCGTCCGGCTGCATTTGTTACAGGACAGTGACTTTTGTGGCACCTCTTGAAGAGAGACAACGTGAAGAAACCGAGACGAACGATGATTCGATTCATAACGCGACACTTTAATTTATGACTCTTTGATTGTTTTCTTTTGTTTGTTCGTACAATCTGTGCTAGTTTTCATGTCTGTTTATTGTGCAACATCGTTTGGTTTTTCAAAAGACTTTTTGAAGCACGTACGATCCGAAGTTTTATAAAACTAAATTTGAGTTTGTTGCTAATGCCTGTTTAATATCGATTCATTCGTTTCCATCCTGCATTGCTTTTTATTTGCGTATGCTAGCTACGATTCAAACTGTCGCTTGATACCCAAAATAACATCTACTTTTAGCGAACCAGGCTGTGAAACGAGTGTATTCTTGTGGCGAATCCATATCCGAGTTGCGAAAACGCAATTTTACTGTTATCAAAGGAATGTTTGAGTTTTTCACGTCGGCTAATTTTAACAATAACGCAGCGCGGATGATGAATGTGTCGGATGACGTTACTGACTTCATGATACGGATTGTGCAATAACTTTTATTCATTATCAAGTCATCACTAGCCGAGCGTGACGTCCACTTGTCGAGGGTTTTGTATTATAAAAGTTGAAATAGTTAACGCAAACAGCGTATAACGAGAAAAGCCATAATATTTGGTCTCGTCATTGAGTACTGTGGTTTTGTTTTGGCTCTATCTCAGCATAAATCACTGAAATCAGTTTAATCGGGATGATTTCAGCTGTATTTGCACTTTTTTATTCGATTTTTTCGTTAATTGTGTGATAAAAGCACAGGGCACGGCTGACCTGTCCAGCACACCGTTTGCTGATGATCAGAACCAGCACTGCGAAATCTCCTTCTCTCAGCAATAAATGTGTTTTCCCATGAGCTGGAATTAAATTTAGTCTCTGTCTTGACATTCGTGATGTTATTGGGTTGCCGGGTATGTTAAACATGGAGAATCCTTAATTAACCGGCATTACTAGTAGAGTAAAGTGTAAAACTGTCTAGTTAACGAAAGCAATCTATTAGGATTGAAGCTGAAGTGTTATTCCTAGTGGCATCAAATGGAACTGCAGTTTATTTGTTTGTTTGAGTGACAAGAGAGCTGGACATTATTTGCTCAACCAATGGAGTGAATTTGGGGGCGGAGCTATTGGTTTCTGACCAATAGCAGATTGGGGGAGTGTTTAATATTTGTTTGAAAAACCTTATTATGTTTCGAAATGACACACTTCACCTTAAACAGGTTTAGAAATGATTGTGTTTAGATTTGGACAATCAGAAAGCAATTTTAGAAAGATTATCATGTGACACTGAAGACTGGAGTAATGATGTTGAAAATTACAATCAATTACATTTTAACATATATTCACAAAGAAAACATTTATTTTAAATTCTAATAATATTTCAAATTTTTACTGTATTTTTGATCAAATAAATGCAGCCTTGGTGAGCAGAAGAGACTTCAAAAATCTTACAGACCCCAAACTTTTGAACGGTAGCATCTGATTCAGAATTATAGGAAGATGAGTGCCAAAAATAAATGATAAGAAACTGCAGAAGGTCAAACAGCATCAGCTGCTGCTCATTCAGTGAGTCTGAGATGTTGAAGGTCCGTCTCAGTGTTTCTTTGAAACCCTTGCTAGCGCTGCAGTATTTTGTTACCAGGACGCTATTACTGTATTTTCTACAGTGTGTCGTGATGTAGAGGAGGCAGACGGATGTGCTTACATCATCTTATCTTATGTTCTCTGAGGATGTAGTTTCTGCAGTGCTCAGCTGTGGTGAATGTTACCCTTTAGGACAAATTGTGAATATTAGGGCATGGAAAATCTGGGGATATTGTGTTGTTGTTGTTTTTTATTTTACGTGCTCATTTCTGTCATTCGTTTTAGATGCCATAGTTTTCTGTCTTTGCAAATTGGAAACTTTGAGGATTTAAAAAAAAAATTTTTTTTTTAAAGGACCTGAAGGTTATTGAACCGATTCAACATACATGTGTACAGTTACAGATTTCCCTTTCTTTGGTCTTTCATTCACCAAAGATACACTGAGGTGTTTGTGTCATCTGTGACCTCACTGAAAGATATGGAGATCAAAATGTAAATATGCTCTCAGGTCACGAACTGATCTGGGATCTGCATCATGAGAAGCTCTCGGCGAGCGTCACAGACTCTGGTAGGATGTTACTCATGGGTGTGTAGTGAAGGATCTCCCTTTAAGTGAAATTCGTGCCTCTGAGTAATTGAAATAAAAGTGCTACACTATGTCAGAGCTTATGGGTCTTGATTTCAATGCTTTCGGACTCATTTCATCTCGATGCAACAGGGGAATTTTGCAGAGCATTTCAGTGTAGGTGGGTAGATTAAACATTCTTCTGAAACTATTTTAAACAAAAATTGTAAAATCTTTAAAAAAAATCTTTATATAATTATTATATGTGCAGTTTGAGTATGAGCTTAAATGATAATGATTGCATTAAAAGAAAAAATATTTTGCGCGCGCGCGTGTGTGTGTGTGTGTGTGTGTGTGCGCATGCATAGCCTAGTCTCTGCTTTAAAACATTACAATAAAAAAATGTTTTGCATGTATCCAACACCAGGTGGCGCTAAAATAGTGGCCTTAAAGTCAAAGTAAAGGTGTGGGTTCAGTCCAGCTGCAGACACTGGTTGTGTTTTACTGTGTCTTTTTTCTTTGAACAGTTCAATTCTATTTA